CAGTTTGATTCATGTTTTTGTTTCTTTTTAACAATAGATCAATTATCAAAGTTCATAGAAAGATTGAGATATGAATAAAATTAGGATGACTGTCTCTTAGATTGTATCAGTATTACAAGATTAAAAGTTCAGCATTGTTTTATGATACAGGGGAGACAATTCACTCTGGGATTTTTTCCCCAAAATTTGTGTATTGTACAGGGCTAATGATTTAATATTCTGCCATTTTTTCTTTAAGTTTTAATCATACATGTACTTATTTTTCGCAATATGGAGAACTGTTGCCAAAACTTAATATTTAACTAGTGTCATCCTTGTTTTGTTTTTGTGTGTATTTATTGCAAGCTTGGAATAGTGACCATTATTCTGTGTTTGAAATATAACAGTGAAGTAATGTTGTTAGCATACTTATCAAGACATTATTATTTGTTCAAATATTCTTCAGTTGCATTTTGATTAAAGCAGTACCATATATCAGAAGACTTTTTATTTGGAGTACTAATAAATGAAAATAAAATAGGATTTTGTTCATTTTTTAAGCCATTGTATTGAGTTAACACTTTATTATGTTTCTTTTTTACAAGTTTTGACATTTCATTAATAATATTAATTATCATTTTAGGGTCATCAGACTTTATTTCTATATATATTAATGTTAAAGCCATCATTATGACAAATATATGATCTCCATTTTTATATATCTTAACACTAGCTTGTCACATTGGTGCATTGATTACAACTAATACATTTTATTTTTCCCTAAAGCTGCTGAATTTCTTAAATCAAACTGTCATGCTTACGTTTTTGGAACTGTCCATTATCAATTTTTAGGGGTTATTAAGATGAAAAAAATGTTATGTTGACCAGTATAGAGCCTGGTTATACTGTGTGGATGTGCAGGCTGGTCTGGCTCTAGACTGATGACAAGGGCTGATCTCTGTCAGGTTCCGGCAAGTTAAGGGTTAAGCAAGGCAAGCCGGGTTAAGTGTAAGCTCCTCATTGCAGTTGGTTCAAGATTTCAAGGGTTTTGTGATTTGTTCATGTGAGGAATACTAGGTATATCAAACTAGGTAACTGACAAAAGGTTGCTGGTTCCACACATGTTACTGGTAACAATTTTACTTGTAAAATCAAAGCACTGAAAGTACTGAAGTATACATGGCTTGATGCATTAATAAATATATTTTGGTGTGTTGTTTTAATCTCTACACATTAATTTTCAAATGCATTACTTTATCGTTAATTAATAAATATGAAATCTATAATCACAACAATTCAATGTACTGTAATATTTTCATTATTCAATAATTGTTACATATAGTCTTCATGAACAACCTTTCCAAGAAATCCATGTATATTGGACAGCAAGTTAACAAGGGTTTTTCCATAATCAGGTTGTGTTACCAACTTCTTAACTTTAGATGAACCATTGAGCTAAAACATTTTTTTTTCTATTTTTTGGCTACTGTGACATACTTCTGATTTTCAACCAAGGTGATCCATGTTCAAACTCGAGCAACACCTGTCACACACATTCTTACGATGTTGTTTCACATTTGGGACAAAGGGTGACCAGTAGAGTGTTAACAAACTAAATGACCAGAAGATTGTTAACAACTGTAATGTCAGCATCGGATACACGTGGTTGATACCTAACTGATAAATGTAAATGGTTCGGCCGTGGGTATCCGACGATGCTAAATGTGGACAGACTAGAGTTGACATAAGATGGATGGCCGACATTCAACAATCTAAAACCTCACCTAGCCTGGGATTCAGGCGTTGATAGCTTTTGCTTATTCATAACATTTTTTTGTTCATAACATATGCGCTTAATATTCCGTATTCGTTCGTCGTTTTGATAGTGTCGATTTTGCCAAACAGAAACATAACAAAAAATCGACAGACTGGAACCCAGGCTAACCTCACCCTGAGCTAGCCAACCTACAAGTTTCACCACTGACTTTTTCATACTGTACTTATTACAAAAAATAACTGACATTTTACAAAGGTAATAAATTCCATGTCATAGTTATTCATTTAAACGATTGAAAATATATTTAGCAGCATTTTTTTAAAAATACATGTATATCTAGTATTTTATTGCAAGTAAAATGTGTTGTTTGTTTATTTATTTTTTCTATCTTTTTGACGCTAGGCAGTATCATAGCCGATAAACAATTTCATACAATGTTTATTACAAAAATATTACTGATATTTTACATTTCTTACACATAAATTATAATGTTATAATCATTCATTTAGACGGTTAAAATTTTATTTAATAGTTCTATTTTTGAAATGCCCATTTCATCGCAAGTAAAATGTGTTTTTTTTTTTTTTTTTTTTTGGGCTTTTTCATTTTTTTGACGCTAGACCGATACGTAGCCGAAAAACACTTTCATGCTGTATTTATAAAAATATAAACATCACTGACATTTTACATTGGTAACAAAAGAAAGTAATAGTTATTCATTTAAAAGGTTGGAAAAAATAGCGGCTCTTGTTTTAACTACGACTATTTTAATGCCCGTAAAAATGTGTTTTCCGGCTTTTCCATGTTTTTTTGACGCTAGACTGTAACTTTGCCGAAAAACACTTTCATATCGCATTTAATACAGAATAGAATCATTCTCTAATTTACACTGGTTGCAAAAAGAAAGTAAATTTTAATCATTTAAAGGGTAGAAAAAAGTAGATTAAAACTTATTTTGTTGGAATTATACCAATTGTATATATCATCGATTTAAAACTGATATTATTGAACCCATTTCATCAAATAACCGACAAAACCAATTTCATCAAATAACCATCAAAAATGGTTTATATTGCTGAATTATTATTTCTTTGTATTTTAAGTGTTTTTCGGTATTTTTTTGGTGTTTTTCGGCAATTAATATAAGCAGATAAAAATAACATAATGTATTTATTTCTTAATGCTTACACTGATTTACAGTTTCAAATGATTATTTCTTCTCGTCGAATCTTGCCACATATGCCTATATTTAGCTCCATACGTCAATATCCCAAGTTCGACGAATTGTAATGGGTCGAACGGTCGAGCGGCCGAATCTTTATTTTTACCCGTACTGAAACAGGCAATCTTCGCTGAATTTCGAAACATATTTCGTTTCAAAAATCTAAGGCATACAAAAGTGAAAGGAAAATCATGTGTAAAAAAGGTATTCAAAAGAATAGCTTACGTAATTTTTATTTTTCGAAGTCACGATAATTGCCAGTTTTTTTATAAAAAAAAACAAAACATTTTCCGGTATACGCTGGTAAATTTTGTGACGGTGCTCCATACTTATTTTGTAAAACATTTTAGGGCAATTTTATTGCATAAATGTAAATCGGGAATTTTATTTGATTTAATATCTATCTGAGATGTTTCGTCCCATTTATATAATACACCGATATACACTTTTAGAACTAGCAGACGACAGGCTATTCTTATCATTGCGTATCTCACTGTATAAATCGCATGTAAAATGGTCTGACATATGGTAGGTTTAACAGTTAATTTAAATACTTTGGAGTCAAAAGATGTATTGAAGTTTATATTGTGATGACGCTAAGATCCAAAGCTTTCTATTGGTGTAATACATTTTAAAATCGGACATTTAATCACAACACACTAGCGGTTTAAAAAAAGCTTATTTTGTATTGTTTTAGCATAAGCGCTGACGACTTTACTATATTTACGATGTATTCATTCATGCTAGCAAGCGCATGCGTATATGCGAAGTTTAACGCGTAGGTATAAACTACGATTTTATCAATGAACTGTTATTTTTTGTTTTCTTTAAAGGAATGTAGAGTCTATTATTTCATGAAAATGAACGATTTGGAAATTTCAAAGCATTTAAACAACTTTGCAAAACACTATTATAATGATGTGTAGTCGGAATGTAACGCTACTGCAGAATGAAGAACTAGTTTCTATAGCGGTTTTTATCCGGGAGTGGATGTTGTTCGGTAATGCATTAAACCTGTATCTTTTCTGAGATATAGCTTATAACTCTGTATACATTGCAAGCAATGTATACAATCACAGTATAATATTCACATTATCAGTGTGAAATAAAAGGGATTAAAAAAAAGAATCCAGTTCATGAACTCAGTTGAATCGTATATAAACCAAGTAGCAATAGAAATACATTTTATTTTGTTGTTTCTTTTTTAGAATGCAGTCTAACCTGTTGAGAAAAAAAAAACATATTTCAACCATGATTATTAAAGCTGCCATGTTTTTGTTTTACATTAATGCAGTTACATTACAAACTTGTCCTATTAAAAGACCACCGGTTAACAAAAACCACTATTTTCCTTCTTTCTTAAATTAGTCTTGATGTAATGGTTAGACTGTATTCAGACTGAATTGGACTTTATAGTTCGTATGTGTTTTGAAATTTAAGTCTAATTTATCTGTATATGTACATGTATTGTTTTACAGACACAAAGGTATATTTTAAATAACCACTTGTTGTATTTTTTTATTTATAAATCTATTGTTTACAAAGAATAAAATACTTTTGTGATACTTAATTTGTGTTGATTTTTACATGGGATTTTATAAGCTCAAGTGACAGTATCTCATATGATAAGAGCTTAATTCGTCACCTTAGTGCAGTAAATGGTGACGATTACTGCCTGTAAAGTGCACAGTCAGGTTTAAGCTCTGTTCAATTTTGATACTGACATCACTGAAACGGACAATGGATAGTTCCAAATACAAAGGAGGACAGGTCAATTGCATTATTGAGAGAGGAAAATATTGATTTATATAAAATACATAGCTTATGTTGAAGCACAGATTCCTTGATCTTTTCTCTGTTAGAAGTTCATCATAAATTTTAAAAAGAAGACATAAATTGAAAATGCAATAAAGCAAGTGGCAGCATGTTGCTATAAAGGTAATCAACATATATTCATGAACCATTTGGTTGAAATGAACTTTGGTATATCTGCATTTGCTAGTTGATAGTAGCATGAACAAATTTAAATTTATTTGAAATTTATTGGCAAGCAAAGAGCTTCAAAAATTCAATGTAGAACCGTCAACCGATGATACTCGTTTGACTGTAGTCTTCTTGCAACAGGAATCCGGAGAATGAGGTGTAATCAAAGTGAAGGATCTGGGAACCTTCATGGCGCCTCACGGAGACCGTGTCATTTTTCTGTAGCTTATATATGGCTGTTTGACTCATCGTGTCATACTGGTGCTCAGATCCGTACAGCTTCACGTTTGTCATGAGTTTATCGTTGACATAGATACCCACGTGTGCGTCATTACGATTTTCTATCATAATAGTGGTAGAGAATACGTAGATTCCGGGCACCGGGGCAATAAAGAGACCGCTATTTTGGCTGTAGGGGCTACCAACGTTGGTGACAACATTATTGAACTTGAGAATAGAATTTGTAGAAAGATTTGTATGTTGGTTCATCATCTTTCCGTAGAACGCAATGGGATCCTCGTTTTCTCGTCTGCTTCTCAATTTGTATTCTGAAAAAGTGCATTTATCGTATGTTTGTGAAATTGCAGGATACCGATTCTTTGCATACCGATTCTTTGCATCATTACGTATCTGAATAAAATATCAAGTAAGTAAGAGTCAATATGCGATATTTATAAGTATCCCGATATTCAGACATTAATTTGTAGACATAATGAAGAATCAATTTCTAATATAATAATAATAGTAATAATAAATATACTAGAAAAAAATATTTTTCAAATGAATGTATTTTCATGGAATGTATTGCTGCAAGCACATGCATAAATACCTTCTTTGTTTTGAAGTATTTGGTTTTTCAGCATTTCGATCTCAACCTGTTGTCGATTGTTTGTCTCTTCATACGCTTTTAGCTTTCCTTCCAAATGTTCAAACTTTGCTAGCAGTAACTCCAGTGTTGACTCTTTAATTTCAGCATTTCCGCACGTAATTTTGTGTATGAAAACGGCTTGAATAATGAACAAAGACAAAAATGGTGGCCGCATCTTTTACCTAAATATTTCTCAATTAATGTCTTAAGTAATTCACTAATAGGGACTTAGTCTCTAATCTATTCTCAACCAAAGCAATGAGCAAGGGCAAATCTATATACATGTATAGATAGGCCTACGGAATATCAAAGATAACGCAAAATGAAATAGTGTGTCAATGTCCAATTCAATGATGCACATATGGAATTAAATCATAAATTAACCTGTATTAAGTACTTTTATATTACAGAAGCATTTTCTATTATAGATTGTTCTTGTGCTGGGTTAACCAAAGTCAAACTGATGCTACGCCTTAACCATGTGCAATACAACAGAGAACATGAAACAATATTTGTAAGACAATGCGTTTCAAGCAGTTCTGATAAGAAATGATTTGGGCCAATCAAAATGTCGTCTGTTGACACTCGAGCTTGTATCGCCCTGTCCATTATAATAAATTTAAAGTAGTGAGATTTAATATTCTCGCGAGGGAACTACAGTAGTAGTACTTAGAGGGGTCGCTACCCCTCTACTACTTACAGCGTATTTTCTCTTATTACTACATCATTTAGTTTGTCTCATGCATGTCTAACTCAAGATATTCTCTCGCAAGCTTGAAGTCTTTAGACCCTCGCGAGAAGTATACCCAAATGTCTCCTTCGGAGAACTCGGCTTTTATTATTATTTATTTTTGGTCTGAAACTGACCCAAAACGTTTCGAAGTATCAACTTAATTGTAACTTCATTGATGGATATATCCCATCGAGAAGTGCAATGCTTAAGAACCATAACTTTCTTTTGCATATTTGGAGTCATTGACCTTTGTTATTTTTCATAGTTTATTTCTATACTCTGGCTTTGATCACCGGTATATGTGCTAGAAAAGTTACTGCAATATGTTTTTAAGACTTTTACATCTTTTCAACCAAAGACATATCCATTTTTAAAGTCATTGAATATTTTTCTAGATAAGACATTTGGAAACAATATAAATATCAATAAGAATGTTCATATAGGCATTGACAAAGATCAAGTTCGTTATTTTGATCAAAAGACACCACACTGATTTTAAAATGTTTTTAATCCAATGACGAGCATTTCCAAACGGTTTAAAAGCAGGCAATACTGATTTCTTAGTCCCTTACTAACGAATTGGGTTTGCCAAGGCAGTCCATTTGAAGATAATCATATTACAAAGCTGAGCTACCGACAGTATAGTGTATAATTAGACTGCACGAATGTTCAGAGTATCCCAGCTTATGATTGTTGCAAAGGAAGGATACTCATTTTTGGTACCGGCAGGTTATGGGTTGGATATTGAAAGGATTCAAATCCAAGATGGATAGTTCAAATTTCAAGGGAGAAAAACAGAATTTGACAACTATATAGCTGTGTTATGGTTTAAAGTTGGATAATTTATAATTATTAGATGTTTTATTCTAAAAGGATATCAACACAATAGTGACTTAAGTCTCAAAAACATACATATTTTGTCGCACAAAACCGTATTATTCTTTTATTGCATGAAAATTACGAACTTACTGATAGTTGTAAACAATAATTTGTAATTTTCAGTAAGAAACTAGCTATTCGACGACATTAGTGAAGACCTTTGCAATTTCCAAAGCCAGGGTTGTGCATTACACGAGGACAATTTTTAACATATAATTTCAGTTAACCAAGAGAGGGATACGAAGTAAAAAGTAAGTTCATCGAGTTTATTACTGCGTTAAAGCGGCTCGTACTTCTTTAATATCATTTGAAATAACGGAATGTTGAACCATGACAATAATTATGACTCTCTGTTACTCTCAATACATGACAGTACCCACAACTCCATAACACTGCTACCATCAATACCTGACAGTAGACCATATCTCCCTTACTCTCTGCTACCACAAATACTCGCAGTAGCCCACCTCCCTAACTTCCAGATACCACCAATACCTAACAGTAGTCCATATATCCCTAACTTCATCCTGCCACCAATAACCTGACAATAGCCTACAGCTCCCTTACTCTCTGCGACCATCAATACCTTACAGCAGGCATATCTCCCTCACTTTCTGCGACCATCAATACCTTACAGCAGGCATATCTCCCTCACTTTCTGCGACCATCAATACCTTACAGCAGGCATATCTCCCTTACTCTCTGCGACCATCAATACCTTACAACAGGCATATCTCCCTTTCTTTCTGCGACCATCAATACCTTACAGCAGGCATATCTCCCTTACTCTCTGCGACCATCAATACCTTACAGCAGGCATATCTCCCTTACTCTCAGCGACCATCAATACCTTACAGCAGGCATATCTCCCTTACTCTCAGCGACCATCAATACCTTACAGCAGGCATATCTCCCTTACTCTCTGCGACCATCAATACCTTACAGCAGGCATATCTCCCTTACTCTCTGCGACCATCAATACCTTACAGCAGGCATATCTCCCTTACTCTCTGCTTCAACCATCAGCTAACAGTAGCCCAAAACTCCTTTACTATCTTCGACTATCTAAACTTAACAGTAGCCCTCAAGTCCCTAAATGTGATTTTTGTGAGTAATCTATGGTATCTATGGTATATGAGCAGTTTCTCATTAAATGATCGTGAAATAACTTGAAATGATATAGACTCTATATTTATGACTTTTTAGTGTCATACCTTATAATATTATAATGCTTTTCAGTATATCACTAAGTAAAGTCTAAAATTATATTATATGGACATTTTTATTGTTAACAATTTGTTATGAACATTTCTAGCCGAAGTTGATATGTTATAGTATTGTTTAAACTTTAAACTTTGATAAAAACAATTCATAGTAAAAAATTATATTATTTTATGCGTCCGAAAGAATTTTGATCAAAACTCAGTAAGTATTTGAGGGATGGATATCAACTTGAAAAACTGTATAGGGAAAGAAGTGTATTGTTTAAGAATTATAAAGTTATTTTGCATACATTTTTTAAGTATTTGCTTTTAGATTATTTAGATATATTTATGTGTCCAAAGTGTATTTTAATACCAATATAAAACTTCATAACACCCCTGCTGACTTTAAAGTTCCGGTGGTATCTTAGCCAGGAAATCTACATCGACTTTCCTAAACACTAAAGAATATTTTCCAGCCAACCAAAATACATGTTCACTTGTTCCCCCATGTGATGATTCTGAAAGATCTTATTGTTGGAAAATTACATGATATTACCATATCACAATGTGTGGGGACATTTTTAAGGGAATGAAATGCTTTATATCAAATGGTCAGGAGAAATGTAGTTAACTTCCCCTGATTTGGGTCTATGTAACACAGAAACAAGTAAAACGCAGTGGGCTTATTTCATATATTTATTTACAAAACTAAGTTACACCTATTTAACTTGGTGGTACATATGGTGGACATACGAGCCTAGGGCAGCACTCGGGGTATGATAGTGTCTTGTCAACAGTTTCGTAACAGCCGAATACTGGGGTCACTGTTTCACATCTGAAGAAAAAGTATGAAAATTGTCATTAACGCCAAGGTGTGGCTATATAGAACTTGACACTGGCAAAAACATAAATGTCAAAATCGGAAAGCTTGAAATATAATTAACCCTTAACCTGTTAAATGTGTATAATGGGTTTGCCCTGCTTTAAATTTAGGATAGTCTATTTGAATTTGAATTTTAATTAAAAAATACAAAAATTTAGCAGCCGACAGTACTTGTAGAGCCTGGTCTGATCGTAAGGATATGCAAGGTTGGCCTGGCTCTATACTGGTGACAAAGTCATAAAAGTCCGATATAGTTCACTAGTACTATTCAAAATGCAACATTTGCGTTCCTCTACATTTATTAAATAACTTGGGAAGCATTTTCTAGAACCAGTCTTAGAAAACATATGAGTCGCGTCACGACAAAACCAACATAATGCATTTGCGACCAGCATGGATCCAGACCAGCTTGCGCATCCGCGCAGTCTGATCAGGATCCATGCCGTTCGCTATCAGTTTCTCTACTTGTAATAGAGTTGGTAAGCGAACAGCATGGATCCTGATCAAACTGCGCGGATGCACAAGCTGGTCTGGATCCATGCTGGTCGCAAACACACTATGTTGGTTTTGTCGTGACGCGGCTCATATGGTTAAACGTCAGTTAAAGACTTCAGACGCAGATTGATTAAAAATCATCTACATGTGCAAAACATCCGGGAAGATGCAAAACTCAACCCAAAAAAATCATTTAGAACAATAAATAATCATGATTGTGCATACACTGATTTTGTCCCGTTATACAAAAAAGGAAACTATTCTTTTACATCGTATCTGAAAAAGCATTTTAAAAAAGCGTTTTGATTCCCGGACATTCATATACCGGCAGTGAATATTTACAGGCTTTCATTTTCCCACCAAAATTTTTTTTTATATGAATTATAACATACCCGGAACATCCATATCCGTTATGATCACAGTAGCACTCCATACATGTACCTACAGGGTTCCATCTCTCACCGGCGGCTTTATTGTCGGGGCATAGTTTACCTGAAATAATCACATTCATACTTTTAACATTAAACCGCCGAATTTGTGTAAAGGACTTGTCAAGCTCCCAGTTTTGTAACCGCCATTATAAATGTTGGTATATATACAGAATGGAGTTTGAAGATGGTCAGCCAACAGTATAGAGCCTGGACATTCTGCAAGCATGTACTGGTTGGTCTGACTATCTATTGGTGACAAGTGCTGATCACTTGAAGTTTGCTGCAGGTTAAAGGTTAAAGTTGCATGTACTAACTGGAAGCATTGGGCATCGGTATAGATAATGTCTGGTCTGCATAACCGTGCAGTCTGACCAGGCTCTATAGTGTATGCTTATTTCGGCATGAAGTTAGTGAGGATAAAGAATGTCTCATAAAAACACCAGAGACTTGGATATTAGATACCTTATTGTTCAAATGAATGCTCTGATTAGAAAAAAGTTTGGAATTTGATAACGGAAAAGCTTTGGAATTATTTACATTGTTTTGAAATTATTTCGGTTCGATTTCAGTCGTTTTGTTTACAGTATCTAACCAAAATGAAAATTTCACTGTCTGGTTGTTTAGAAAATTCATTAACACCTGAAGATATCTACAATAGAAGGTCACAGTAAAATACTAATATATTATGTCTTTACATGTAGTTTTGTTTCAAGCAAGTATTTTTCAGCGGTCTTCAGTTTTTTTTTCAAACAAATACATTTGCATTAGTTAAAGAGCAATTCACCTATTAATCTATCATTATCTATTTTATACACATAAATTTTATAAGTACATGATTAAAAATAGATTTTGATCTATGAACTTTCGAGATACACATTTATCAAAAGATTTTTTTTCGACAATAAGGTATGTTCTTGCAAAATTTTGGTTACTTGCATACATGCAATGTGCCTAATAAAATATCATAAAGTAAAAGTCCAAATTTTAAACAGTCTTACCAGTTTGGTAGAAGTTTGATGCATAAGCACACGCTACCAGAGCTAATATAATTAAACACTTCATTTTTATCGTCTGCTGCCTTGGTGAACGCACTGGAACCAACTGATTTTATACTAGCAGACGACACATCATTGCCTCAGTCGGTGTGAACTTGACATATGGTACAGATAAGGCGCTATGTCCAAGTCTATCTACAGACAATAAGTACAATTAAAGTAAGTTGACCTATCAATATGGTAACCTGTGTGACCTATATAGTAGGAGTAAATAGTACTAATTTTTTGTCATAACACATGAGATAGCAATCATTCGTGATGCTTATTTTTCCAAATATTAAAAGCACCATTTTTGAAAAGAAAATGCGTCAGTTTTGAACATATCTATAGATAAACTTAATTATATCTTCCCTTTGAGATGACGTATAGTCGGTTTTACATGAATACATACACAAACAGTATTTTCAAACTTTCGCGTAAGAACGAACTTTTTTCACTTCCTGGTACAATTTTGTCAAAAGGTTAACTTGATACTAAATGATAATGTAGGCTAACTAATTAGTTTTGCATCAAGAACAATATCTTATTGATGAAAATCACATTGAATATTTTTATTTATTGTAATGCACATAATAAATTATGCAGTATACATACAGTGCTAAATGAAAAAATAAATCATTTTCTTAAGCTATGAACTATTTCTTTTTAGCATTCGGAGTTTTTGAAAAAGCACATCATCGCATGGCAATTTTGCAGCCGTTGCCTCATTTAAACATCGATGCTATGTTACATTAGTGTTGTTGTTTTTCAATTTCAGTAAACTGCTCAATGCGCCTGGCTTATAAGACATATTTTTGACAATAAATATTTTTAAATCATTAAAAAAAAAGAAAAGCTGTTTTAATTTGAAGAGAGCTTCATGACAGATAAAAATCGAACACTGTTGCAGTTAATTTCTTTTACGTACTAACAAAGGAATGGTTATGTTAATAGATTAGACTATATGATTAAAAAATCACAACAAACGTAAATACTACAAGTTTGTTGTGATTACCACATAGATGTAGAATGACCACAAATATACATGTACATATGGAAGCTTGAATTGACCCCCCGAGATGCCGTGGTCCGTGATAATTTATATGTGGTCATGTTGATATATATTAGTCCGACATGACGTGCTGTATCATGGTTTTGATGGAGAAACATAAAATCTGTACAACATCTGTATCAGACCATGTCGACATAACTTATGTCTATTATAAAACAGGACGGGGACCATTTGAACGTCATAATTATTATCCGGAAACAAAAATCCCGCCCATCGAGTAATGACTGACGTGCTTTTTAGTTTCCTTTTAATTTCATATGTACAATACTATAACTCAGAATAATACATTTGGCTGCAAACTGAAATATCATTTTAAAGGTGTCAAAACGTCTTGATAAGTGTACATGTATATACGTATATAAAATACTAGTATATGGTTGCTAACCAAGCACTGACTAGAATAATTGACACGGTTCGGAACTGTTCACTATTTCGGGGCGATGATGTGTAAGCGGCCGGATAGCTCAGTCGGTAGAGCTGCGGTACGGTATTCCGAGGGTCCCGGGTTTGAGTCCCGGTCAGGCTGCACATTTTTCTCACCCTTTGACATAATTTATTTGGTATAACTGCTAGTTAGATAAAAACGCATATACAAAATGCACTGCAGAAACGGACATATACCAAATTTTATATTAAAACGCAAATGACCTTTCAAAGTGTCTACCAATATGCTCTTCAAAGGGTGAACCATTCAAAGATTTTGGTTTGGTGGGAGGAGTTTACTTTCCGAATATTAATTGGGTCTTTCCGACAGTGCCCATGATTTTAATACGCGGTGATTTTCTCCAAGAAGCAGATATAACAAGGCTTGTCGAGATAAAATACGTTGACATAGCTATTATTGATTCCCATTAACTCCATTACTGACAAAAAATATGTCGACATGCCTTGAAACCAACGTTGCCCATACGTCTTTATTATCTCACCAAACAATGATAGAAGACGTCATGTCGCGTAAATATAAGTCGACATGACGACACACGAGTAATCACGAACACGGTATCTAGGGGGTCAATTCAAGCTTCCATATGTACATGTATAGAACGACCACTTACAATTAGAATGACCACAAACATGTAGATGTTAAAATACAGTTAACTAGTACATGTATTTAAAAGATTTAACCTTTAGGTTAAGAGTCGTATAACAGCCACATATACATGTCTATCACGCTTGAATACGATATACATTGTATGTATATAATACTTCATTTGTGTAATAGAATCGCATGTTCAACTTTAAATAGCAAAAAATAAGTAGTCAACTGCAAATACTTTAAATGCCTTATTAATATACCAACGTTTCGGCTGAATAGCCTTCTTATCTAAATAGGAATCAAATAAAATGGTACAATGTCCCACTTTAATTAAGCATTTGAGTGATTTTATTATTAACTGCTTATGACTTGAAAAGAATAAAATATTAAGAGTACCTATTAATGAAAAAGCATGTAAACTTGTGTATAACTAGGACAATCGTGTTTTGTTTGTTTGTTTTGGGTTTTACGTCACATCGACACAGTATAGGTCATATCGCGACGTTCCAGCTTTACTGGTGGAGGAAGACCTCAGGTGCCCTTCCGTGCATTATTTCAGGCACGGACGGGCACCTGAGTAGAACCACCGACGTTCCGTAAGCTAGCTGGAAAGCTTCCTCACATGAAAGAATCGAAAGTCCCTGTCTGGATTCGAACCCACAGCGGTGAGGGGCAAGTGGTTTGAAGTCAACGACCTTAACCACTCGGCCACGGCGTGTATAGAACATCTATTTAAAAAAACTGTCCATTATATATTTCATTACATACAAACGAATAAATATTTATTTTAGTTTAAACAATATTTATTTCCAGAATTTACAAAACATAAATATACATTACAACCAGAAGACATTGTATAATAAGAAACATGTAAGACTGAAGATATAACTTAATGATATACAATGCTAAAGAAATTATTAACTTAATTAAATTCGGAAGAAGATTTTTATGTAATATAAATATATATTTAAAATCTGCATTAGTTACCCCTTGTACATAAATATTTCGTAACGTATATGCAATGTATAAATAAATAAATTCAATTTTTTTCCAATATTTAGATCATTCGCAACTTTCCGGTATACTCGAAAACACGAATACATATCCGTGAAAGCTCGGGTGGAAGGGGAATAACCGCAATAGAAGAATTGCACAACCAAATGAAATCTATTTATGGTTATTCGGTCATGTGACTAATTTAAGCGCGTATTTCGCAACAGCGTTATTATAGAAGTATAAATACGGTAGTCAACTGTCGAGCGGGTACACAGAAATGTGAGCCACCGAACTGTCAAGTACAGTTGGATTATCCGAGAGGCTTCAAGCCTTAGATATATTATAGCAGGCCGAGTTACCTTAGAGGAGATATTAAACAGAATAAAATGGTATGTATGAATTTAGCAGGTTATGCATTCTTTTCTCTTTCTTATTTTTTTTATTTATTTATTTATTTATTTATTTATTTTGAAAACGAACGCATATTTCTTTTTATATCAATAAGCAATTATTCATATAATGTCAACGTTATCATGAACGTGGTTATCCTCTACCACTGCAACCCTCCCTACTTGCAATGATCAATATATCGAATTTGTTAAACATATATCTTATTACAACGAGTGACCTCAGTAATGTATAAGTATGAAATAAAGAATTGAACGATTTTTTTCTATTCTATTCCAGTCTGTTACTGTTTTTAGATTTCTTTCTCCTTTAAAAAGAAATATAAATTGCCCTACAATGTTTTCAACCTGTTCTATATATTTGGTTGAATGTTCATTATGTAGAGGAACGTTTGTGATCTGTGATCCGGAAAAAAATATAGAAAAATGTTGATCAATAAATGCCGCTCGTAATAATTGTTTACTAATTAAAAATGCCGCACAATTATATTGATCAATTAGTTTGTAAACAAATGCTGACTAGACCCGCACCAAAGCGTTGTATCTACCATTATTATTTATGTACATAAATAAATGTGTACACGTGTATGAAATAATATAATACAAACTTAATTTTAACCTTTTAATCTAATATGTGCACGTTTGGCTAAATCTAACTAAAGTTTGATGTAACAGCTTACATTTTTAAGATTTGGTTAAATTAGTCCTGATGTCTGCGAGTTCGAGTCCTAGAATTGGCATACGTTTTGTGTGTAGATTTTGATTGGCAACATTTTATTTGTAAATGATATTACATTGTATTTGTATTATCTGTTTTAAATCATATGTGCGAGGATTAAAAAAAAATGGGTAAAGAAACTACTCTTTTACATTATACCCTAGAAGATTCGTTAGTTGGTTGCCTACCATAAAACATATCTTATTTTTTTAAAGGTGAACATAGAGAACATGCGACGCACGATGGGTCAGCGTGGCAATATCCGCAACATGGCGGTCATTGCGCACGTGGATCACGGAAAGACAACGCTGACGGACGCTCTCCTTGCACGTGCCGGGATCATTTCCATGGACCAGGCTGGGGACAAGAAAGCTACTCATACTCGCAAGGATGAACAGACTAAAGGGATCACCATTAAATCTACGTAAGTTAATATTGCTTTCTAAAAACAATGTAACAATTTGTACTTTCGATATTATGTAATGCATGCATATGCAAATAAAAATTGTTTGTCACTTTTATAGTTATTAACCTTTTACCCTTTTAAAGTTTAAAACATTTAAATATCATTTCAGGACCGTGTCGATGCACTATGAGCTTGATGTCCCAACTGGACCCGTCACCGAGGAGGTCCCGGAGGGTAGGTCTCTTGTAGTCAATCTCATTGACTCCCCCGGGCACGTAGATTTCTCCTCTGAGGTGACGGCGGCACTGCGTATTGCCGACGGGGCAATGGTTGTTGTGGATTGTATTGAAGGTAAGTTACTGGCTTCCATCTACTGAAGTATGTGTTTTGAAAGACGAATTTAAGCTCGCGCTCATTTCTCTCCCTCTTTATTTTTAAGGATAATTGTGCAAAATAGTACTTGAAAATGTTTTAATTTTTCAATTAATCTTTCAATTATAAATTTTGTTCACGTAATGAAACTTATGTTTATGTTCCATTTGCCTGACAGGTGTCTGCGTACAGACAGAGACGGTTTTGCGCCAAGCACTAACGGAGAGGATAAAGCCTGTCTTAATGATCAACAAAATGGACCGGGCAGTGTTCGAAGTACAGCTGACGAATGAAGAAATTTACCAGTCACTTTCCCGAACAATTGAGAACGCTAACGTTATTTTGGCAACGTATGGTGGAGAATGTGGTGTAATGGGGGACATCATGGTATGTATTGTTAATGTCTTCTCACATTTTTTTTCTTTTCTTAAGGAGATCTATTTAAAAATATACATATCTACATCACCTTTTTATTTATAAGCTCTAATTCGTCAATGCAGTCTTAAATTAATTAAATCATTACAATTAATTTAGTACATTGTAACAAAGGTTCTCACACTAATGGGTTCTTTTACCTTACTTTCAGCTGGATCCGGCCAAGGGAAACGTTGCATTCGGTTCCGGACTGCATGGCTGGGGCTTTAACCTCGACCAGTTTGCGCAGATGTATGCTGAAAAGTTTAAGATAAAGAAAGAGAAAATGATGAAAAACTGTGGGGAGATAATTTCTACAATTCGGAGGAGAAGAAATGGACGAAGGTTCCGTCAAAGGGCAGTGAAAGAGGATTCAGCAAGTTCGTCCTTGAACCCGTCATAAAGGTATACATTGCAGACGACAATGTTTGTTAAGACCATCACGTCCCATAAATGATAATCATATGTGATGTGTTTGTTTTGTTTTTGTTGCTGTTGTTAATGTTTTTGTTGTTGCTTTTTTCTTGTTGTTTTTTCTCATTAGTTGATTTTTTTTTACTGAGAAAAGGATATTGCAATTGCCGAGTGTGTCATATTCAAACTTAATTAAGATGGCTGAATTATAAATCAATATATCTAGATCATTTTATACCGTGAATTTTAGAACTTTGATTTACTTATGTTACCAAACAAATATATCAATGATTACCTAAATAAGTTCATACAATTATTGAACATTTTACACATTTTACAGGTATTACGTGATTGCAAAGAAAACCAGAAAGAGAGCGTAATTGCTATAACAAAGAAACTTGGCTTACATCTGACAAAAGACGATGTTGAACTTGAAGGAAAATCATTCATGAGATGCGTTATGAAGAAATGGCTGCCCGCAGCAGACGCCATGTTGCACATGATTGTTAACCATTTACCCTCACCAGAAGTAGCTCAACGCTACCGGACCGAGATATTATACGAAGGTCCTCTTGACGACCCGGCAGCCACAGGTAATACAATATTACTAAGTCGAAACGTTTCTTTAATATACTTTAATACATTTTCATGACAATACACTATTTATAGAATATGCTTTTTGCTTAAAAGATGTTTTAAGTTTGTTGATCAAATGAGATCCATATAATTACCTTTTTCAGAAATGCAATCTGGCCAATAATTTAAAAAAGCGTCTTTTAAAATTATTGAAATTTACTTAAATACTAAACGGTTGATATTCTATTTCAGGCATGAAGCAATGCGATCCCAATGGACCTCTCATGGTTTATGTATCCAAGATGGTTCCTTCATCGGACAAAGGAAGATTCTATGCCATAGCTCGTGTTTTCTCCGGTACCGCCGCAACGGGAATGAAAGTGCGAATAATGGGTCCCGATTATAAACCGGGAAACAAGATGCAGACGGACCTTTATGTCAAGAGTATCCAAAGGTGAGTTGTCAAAGAAGATAATTAGGATAAAAATAAACAATCAGGGATGTTTTTAAATCTCGGAGACAACAAAAATGTGATTTATGCCGCGCGTGAGGTTTTTCTAAACTTAAGTTCGTATTTTCTCAGTAGAACTAAATTGCTATGTTTCAATATTGCAAAAATTCCGACTGACACGGCATCATGTTGATTATCTCCTATTTTACAGAACACTTGTCATGATTGGCGGTAGTGTAATGTCAGTAGATGACGTCCCGGCAGGAAACATTTGTGGACTGGTAGGCATTGACAAGTATTTGGTTAAGACGGGAACGATTAGTACATACGAACAGGCGCACAACCTAAAGGTGATGAAGTTCTCGGTGAGCCCAGTTGTACGAGTAGCGGTAGATGTTGTCAATCCAGCACATCTGCCTAAACTGGTAGAAGGGATGAAGAGACTTTGTAAAGCTGACCCAATGGTGCAGGTAATTGAAAGCATTTGTTTCTATGACTTAAATTTATAAATTATCTTTGTCTAATTCATACTGCTTCTGCTCCCCCCTTAAATCTTTTAAAGTAAGATCAACAAAGCCATATAAACATCTTGTTACTTAAAGAAGTTGTTCTGAAAATCTGAATATCACTAAAGCCTTTAAAGGCCTGATATGGTATCGCTAATCATTGGATATTGATGTATAAGATCTATTTTATAGCTTTCATATTTCAGTGTTTAGTGGACAATGGTCAGCACATACTGCTTGGTGCAGGCGAGTTACATCTGGAGGTCTGTTTACAAGATCTAGAAGAAGAGCATGCAGGAGTTGCAATCAAGGTGAATCAAAATTTACATAAAGTAACAAAAAAATAATAATAAAAAATGTTAAGTACACTGTATATGGATGGACATGTGTTGTTACAAAAAGTACAATTATTTAGTTTCAGTACATATATCGTTCTTTTTTATATTGCCTTTTCATGCGTTTTCTGTATGTACATTGTATACATTCTCATTTTCTGTTCGAAACTGTTTTTGTTCTTTTATAGGACTACGAGTATATGTTGCAACCTATTATTAGCAAATAGTTTGTGTAACAGTGGAATAACATCGTCTTTGTTTTATTAATTTTAGAAATCTAAACCTCTTGTAAGTTACCAAGAGACTGTTAGTGAGCCGTCAGATCGTCTCTGTTTAGCTAAGTCGGGTAACAAGCTTTGTCGGTTATACATGACAGCTGAACCACTTCCGGCAGGTCTCGCAGACGACATAGAAAAAGTAGGTTTTCTGAGATTACAAGTTATGTAAATGTAGTGTTATCATTGTAAATTTGTGAAATTTTTATTGCTAGCTTGAAAAGCAGAAGTTTGTGCTTATATTTCAATTGTGCGATATAATGTTTTGCTTCAGAACTTCAAGTAAACGTATTTTTATCAACTTGGTGTTTTGGACCTTATTTTTATTTATATGCTCCAGGAAAGATGCGTTCAATTTTACATGTATATGTACGGATGTGTTCATTTATTATTATTATGATTCAGTAACAGTTTAACTGTTTGATTATTTCAGGGAACGATAAAAAGTACGGATGATGTTAAAGAGAGAAGCCGACGCCTTGTTGATTGTTATAACTTTGATCAGACTCAATCAAAGAAGATTTGGTGCTTCGGTCCTAACAGCTCGGGTCCCAATATGTTGGTAGACTGCAGCAAAGGTGTTCAGAATCTTCATGAGATTAAGGATACGGTTGTTGCCGGGTTCCAGTGGGCTTCATCAGAGGTATATTTTTAACTTTTTCATATCTATGTCCTTTTTACAGAAAACTGATTTAGTCACATTTGATACATTTATTAGTTACTATTCCAAATGACTTTTCAAATAATATATTTTTTAAAAGATATTTTTACAGAAATCTAATTGACTCACAAGTAAAACGTTAATTAGTTGATATTCCAAATGACTTTTCAAATAATATACATGTATATACAAAGAAACCTAATTGATTGACTCACAAGTTAAACATTAATTAGTTGATATTGCAAGTGACTTTTCAACTAGTTTTTGTTGTTGTTGATATTTTGTTCATTTTGTAAGGTGATTAAATGTCTTGAACATTTATTACAGGGTGTTTTGACAGAAAGTACGGTCAGAGGTGTCCGATTCAATTTCCAAGACGCTCACTTTAAAGGTGATTCGAGTCACCGAGGCGGTGCGCAGATAATCCCCGCCACACGGCGTGTCATGTTGGCATCCATGTTAACAGCGAAACCAAAGCTGTTTGAACCCGTCTATTTGGTGGATGTTGTGTGCCCAAAGACATGTCTGGGCTCTGCGATCAATCTTTTATCGCGGAAACGAGGCCAAATCGTCGACCAAAAAGTTCAAGAAGGAACACCTATGTGCACTATACAGGCATACATGCCCGTCAATGAGTCTTTTGGTTTCAATGGCGAATTACGTGGCGAGACTGGCGGCCAAGCTTTCCCGCAGTTTTTGTTCGACCATTGGCAACTTCTGCCTGGTGATCCATTAGACGCGTCATCTAAAGCCGGCGAGATCGTGGCTGATATACGTCAAAGGAAGGGTCTCAATGTTGAAATACCAGCTCTTGAAAACTTTTTGGACAAACTTTAAATACAACTATAAGAGTCAACTGTGTACTCAATTTTGCTTGAACTTTCGAATTTCGGATGCATCCAATTTTTTGTGTGATGCTAAAATATCTTTTTCACTCTTGTTTTAAAAATGATATTCACAAGTAAATTGGCACACATGTTTGACACACATGTTTTGATCATAATTGGTAGATCTACTGTTTTACAATCATTCTTATATTTCCAACAAAACGAGTACGGAATGTATGTATTAATGCAGTAGCTAAAGAAATAACATCTCTTAATTATTGCTTTATCAATAAATATACAGAACACAGAATAAAGAGTTTAGTTTTATTTCAAACATTATCCTCAAAATATGACAATGTTGCGTAGAGTTTATTTGGTCCCAACAGAGTTCAATTGATCTAAATTATTCAAGCACTGATGTGACCTCCCATTTCCAGAATTTTTATTCTCATTACAGCGGATGTGTAAGGATATAAAGCAATATCTTATGAAATATCTTTATAAAATTTAACAACAGTAAAATTATATCGGAAAATGTTTCAAATTTTACACCTCCCTTTTGCGCGTCAAGCCACTGAAAAAATTTAAGAAAAGTCAAAAGGTGTTAAAAAAAAAAGAGACGTATGTTAAATATCATACACATTTAAAATAGACAGGGAAATGTATAGGGTTTGTTAAAAGTAAAAGCAGGGTGAAATATTCTCAATATGGCTAACAGTCATATTGGACTGGTTAAGCTGGGCAATGAAACAATATTAGGGGTAAGTTGATGTGAATTCGTAGAAATCAGTCTGGACATATAGCTCATAATTTGGGCATGTTGTGAAGGTATCCCTGATGGGATGGGATAACATTCTATAGGGATGGCGACTTTAGCGTTAGTAATGTTTTACATTATGGAGAGCCTACAGCCTATATATTCTTCATAGTTTACTAGGTCAAACCCGCTCCACCACTAACATTATCAATTCTCGGTATCAAGTCATAACCAGAAAGCACCATAGAGAACTCAAATTAATCTTTAAAATACATGAAAAAATCCATTTTAATGATTTTTGTGTTACTAATCGATGGATTAGGCCAAAATCTGTGTTTCATACTACATTTTATCCTTTAAAAATTTATTATACAAATGTTCAGGAATATAGACTGGAGTACTTTCCGGTCCCGTTAAAAGGAATCCACCGAGTTTTTTTGACATGACAGGACTTGAAATATAAGATTTGTGTACCATTTGATGTAGGCCACAACCAGTAACTTGTCTGCAAATTTTCAAATCTTTCCCTCAATGCTTTTTGTTTTTCAGAAAAATTATTTTCGTTATTCAAAAAAGGAAAAGGTTGCAATGCTTTTCACTTAAAATGGGCAAGATCAATAATCCATTTCATTCTTAGTATATTTTTTCATTATTCTTTGCAGATTTCTCCTTTGTAAGAATTTATTTAAATCTATGTAAGAATTTCAAATTTTATGTTTTTAGGCTTTTGACCTCAGTGGAGCTCCTTTGAGATAAATGTACAATGTATTACAACTGATAAAATGAAAAATCAAGCCTCAAGTAATATTTTATTTATTGTTTTGCGTTATATTATATATTGTACCTTTAAGGACGATTCAACGAATCAACGTTGATAAAAAATACTTTTTTTTATTTGTCAAGTAAATTTTTTAATGTATTTCTAGTCCTTTTTTGTTCTTTTTTACGCGAGAGTAATGACACATTATTATGGTCTATTGTCAAAAAGGGTACAGAAACTGGGGAGTTTTAAAAATCCACTTTGTCGCAATTATTCCTATGTCGTAAATATAAACACCATCGGACAATTAGAGGATGCCATCTCATATCACATTTCCCATTCTTTGCCTCCTTCATTAGTTGCTCCCAAAACTGTCTTTGTAAAGAAATAGAATCCGGGAATGCTTTCATTACATCACTTTCACAAGATGACATCAATTCAGAAAGTTCTAATGAATGTTCTTTATCCTTTTTAACCCGCTCTTCTTCTTGCTTATATTTCTCCACTTTTCTTACAAGTCTGGCATTTTCCTTTTGTAAATCTTTAATTACGATTTTTTGTTCCTCGAGTTTCGACAACAATTGATTTCTGTCCATCTGAGAATGATTAGTTTTAGACTTTAAATACGTTTTTTGGGGTCTTGATTCTTTCTCCTTTCGTCTGTACTCCCTATCTCTTAAAACAGCACGTGTCCTGCTACAATGAATACATCTTTCACCCTTTGTGTAAAGGATTAAATCACAATCGAGAGACCTTATACTTGAGTAATATATCCCAAGTTTACTCTTAGCACCAAAGTCCTGCTCTAAATATGCAATTACACCATCTCCTGCAACACTTAGCTCAAAACCATTTGACAAAAGATTCACATATTCTGCTTCAGGGTTTCCAACACAGACATGAGAGGTTTTCAAGAACTTTAGAAATTTCATTACTGTGGCAACATCCAGATTTCCCTCAATGATTCCATCAAACACAGTATTACCTTTTGAGACTAGACGGTTATGTACATATAACTGCATTGTTAGATTTTTCTTAATAATAATACATAGTTTCATTGCACTGTAGTACATCTCAATAATCTTGATAACATCACCGCATTTTGTAATTATATATGGACTCTGAACAAGTTTTGTAAGTTCATGATACATATTTTCAAAATGATCAAATGTAACATCAACCATTTCAGCAACATCTGTGTCATCATGTACTGGTTTCACATCAGGTTCTTCGTTCTCACACTCCCTGTCCAGATGCCAATGTAAAGAGAAAAGTTCAGATGTATCCTCAAGGTTAACAGTCTCTATTATATGGTAATCATGATAAAAGTCTGAAGTGGATTTCTTTGGAACTGAACAGTACTCATGATCATAGCTGTCAACGACTTCCGTGACACTTTGCTCTTCTGCCTTTCTCTTAGCACGGAACCATCCTTTCTTTCGTGGCATCTGCAAATATAAAAATGTAAACTTCATATAAGTTTCTAAGTTTCTTTGCAAGTGTACTGCATGCAATATCATACATAAAAATTCTGATAAAGAAACATGACAGGTTCTCTAATTTGAAAATTTAGAGACTTTAGTCTTTATATGCCTTTTTTCAATTGTAATGCTTTTTAGAATGAGATATCATTTGGAAACTGTCTTCTCTTCTTTCTTTTTTTTTACAAAATTACAGAATTAGTAGTCGTCCAATCCAAACTTCACAAATATTTTATGATGTTACATCTATGTAATAACACACCTCTGCAGCTACAACAATAAAAAAACTTCATTAGGGGGGTGCCAGAGGAGAGATGTGCCCCTTATAAAGGGAGTTTGAAAGGGGGGTGGTAGCCCCCTCTCATCGCCAAGAAGATTTTGGACTTATGAGGGGCTAAAAATGACCTCAGGTTGATCATAAGGTAACATGTAACAAACGCTGAAAAGCCTTTGACTCTGTCTCAATCCATTGCGAAGTTGCAGCAATTTGAAATAATTTTTGATTGAAAAACTCAAAACAAAATACTGATTTTCTGCAATTTTGAGATGCCCCCTTGTTGGCATGGTTACAGGAAATTTATGGGTATGCCTAAAATACGAAAGCGAGATTTTTGACGAAAGTGAGCGAAAGTGATTTTTAGAATTTGAATTGTACTGTTTTAATAGAATTTTACAGTAAAATTGCTGTTTATAGACGTATATTATTAGCAACTTATTATATATATTATAATAAATAACCATAGTCATGCCATTTATTGGCCTAATTTATATATACAAGTTCAGCGATCTTCCTTTCTCTTGCATAGAAAAATACTTAAATTGAAAATGTACTAAATTTGCAGTTTGTGTATTATAAGAAATTAATATGATTTATTTTCTAATTTAATCATTTTGATGATTTATAGTTTTATACCACTTTTTTGCATAATTTCTATATACAATATCAGCGATCTTCCTTTCGCTTACATTGAAAAATACGAAAGTGACTTGTAAAATATCAAATATAGAGTTTGAATTGAAAATGTACTTAAATTGCAGTTTTTAAACGTATACATATTTTCAGAAATTAATAATTTGATATTTAACACTATATTTCAATTAAACTTAAAATTATATTTGATATTTTAGAGGTCACTTTCGTATTTTCTATGTGAGCGAAAGGAAGATTGCTGAACTTGTATATATTAAAATTATGTAGAAAAAATGGGGTAAAAATCATCATAATGATTATTTTTGAAAATAAATAATATTAATTTTTGATATTTATATATACGCCTGAAAAATGCAATATATGTATTAGTTTCAATTCAACGCTTTATTTCATATTTTACAAGTCACTTTTGTATTCTTCAATGTGAGCGCAAGGAAGATCTCAGAACTTGTGTATAGAAATTATTCAAACAAATGGTGATTAAATCATCATAATGATTATTTTTGAAAATAAATATTATATATTTCTGAAAATATACGTCTGCAAACTGCAATTTTAGTATTAATTTCAATTTAAACTCTATATGTAATATTTTACATGTCACTTTTGTATTTTCCAAAGTGAGCGAAAGGAAGGTCTCAGAACTTGTGTATAGAAATTGTGCAAATAAATGGCGATTAAATCATCATAGGGATTATTTTTGAAGAGAAATATTATAAGTTGCTAATAATATACGTCTACAAACAGAAAATTCACCGTAAAATTCTATTAAAACCGTACAATTCAAATTTTAAGTCACTTTCGCTCACTTCCGCTCACTTTCGTCAAAAATCTCACTTTCGTACTTTAGGCATACCGGAAATTTATGACTGTTCATGCCGTTACATAGGCAATGGTCCAGTCAACAATTGTACCAAGTTTGATTAGTATTGAAGCATTTTTTTATATTTTCATAGCAATTTGAACTTGTAACAGGAGGCTTTTCAATGAAATCAGTCAAATTTTACAAAATGCTCATGCAGTAATGGGTTATATGTAATTAGTTTGTCCGAAAGTGAACATCCGAAGATATCGTTATAATTTGTTTTGGGCTTGCACCTTTTATCATGTGCTAGAACAATTTGTAGCTTCAGATTGCCGTGGCCACAATTAAAAATGAACATGTAAGAATAATTTAAGCATTGCACAATATTGCTGTAACTTCTAAATTACCTTTACTATGAAATTATTTTCATTTCGTTCAAAGCGTTGATAATGACCGTGTATACGGTACTCCGGTATATACAACTAGAGACGGCCCACTTAACTTTCGTACTCTATATCCTATAGTAAATCCATCACATCATTCTAAGACTAAATTCTGAACACAGCATATCCCGTACAGGCATTTGGTGGCTAAAACTTTCAACAACAATACTACCCAACTAAATTTAGCACAAAAAAATAATACATCAATTAGTGTTATATTTTCTATTTTGTGTACATATATATTTATATATATATGAGCTGCCCATTCCGGCATTCATGGAATAATACTGTACTAGCATATAAAGGCCAAGGTTAATGTATCAGGTTAATTAGCCCTTGGACTTTCTCTGCAGCTTTTAATTTGCGTAAGCACTAAAAATAAACCAAATAACAACTGGGGTGTATGTTGGCGTATATGGTACTTCCTGAAATCTTCCACCAAGAAATGAAATCCTGCAAAGATAAAAAACAACCTTTAAAGTACTCAGAAATGAAACTGCATGTACACATTTACAAAAACATACTTAAAATGTAATCAGGCTCACCAAGGATGACTTGAATGGGCCACTTCAAATATTTAAAAGAACTATACTTTCTAGCACGGTATAATTCCGTACCGGGGTGACACCTAGCTTCTGCTTTATGCAAAATAAAAAAATTACTTATTTTGACATTTCATTTCATATTTTGTTCTTTAATTAACTTGTCTACAAAATTCAATATCAATTCTGTCGGAATATATATATTATATATATTTTGTTATTTAATTATTTTACTTACACACATCATTGGCCAAATTAGGAAACGTGATCGACTGTATTCAAAAATTAAACCGTCGAATACCCCACTCCATGGACCTGCTTAGCAAAATCTTAGGAGCAAAATCCAAAAAGAAATAAGTCATACTGATTGAACTTAGACAAGGTCATTTTCTCTAACGATTCACAACCAGGAAAGAGTAAGAAGTTCTACTCTTTCATCAAATCAAACAAAACTGAAAACTGTGGAGTAGCACCTTTAAAGAGTGATGGTAAAACCTTTACTGATCCTAAAATGAAGGCAAACATACTAAATAAACAATTTGAGTCTGTCTTCTCCCGCCCCAACCATTAAATCTAAATCAGTCGTGCAAACAATTGCTCACTCCACAAAAAATATAAAAAATTCCAAATGTCAACATAACAGAGGAAGGAGTAATGAAACTCCTGAAAGGCCTAAATCTAAGCAAAGCCTCTGGCCCCAACCGGCTATCCCCAAGGTAATTGAAATAACTTCATACTGAAATTGACCCAGTTCTCACACACATCTTCCAAATCTCCTTAAAAACTGGTACTGTCCCTCGTGACTGGAAGCATGCAGTCATTGCCCCTGTTTATAAGAAAGACCCAAAATGTAAGCCTATAGTAACTACAGGCCTATATTATTAACCTGCATTGCCTCTAAGCTAATGGAGCATATAATTGTCTCCAATATCATGTCTTTCTACGATAAGCATGATATTCTCAGCAAATTCCAATATGGTTTCAGGTCAAATCATAGCTGTGACACCCAGCTTATTAGTTTCACCCAGAAAGTTCATGACGATTTAGAGCAAGGCCAACAGACCAATGTTATTGTCATGGACTTCAGCAAAGCATTTGATAAAGTCGACCACCACACACTTCCCCTTAAACTACACAGACTAGGAATTAGCCCAGAGGTCATTACATGGACAAGGTCATTTTATATGGTCGCACCCAACAGGTTTGTTGATGTCAAAACTCTAACAAGCTACCTGGTCTCTCTGGTGTCCCCCAAGGCTCGGTACTGGCACCTTGCCTTTTCTTATCTTATAAAATGATCTCCCTGATAGTGTTAAGGGCAAAGTTAGACTATTTGCAGACGATAAAATAGTATATTTAACAATCAAATCAACCCAAAATGCACAAACCCACCAAAAAGATCTCAACAGTCTTGAAAACTGGGAATGTGATTGGTCCATGGTATTTAATCCAGATAAATGAGAAATCATTAGTATCAGTCGCAAGAAACACCCAGTAACATTTCGTTATAATTTACATGGTCAACAACTTAAATCCACTGAGGCTGCAAAATATTTAGATGTAACAATTAGTAAAGATCTATCTCGGACCAATCATATAAATAACATAACAGCAAAAGCATGTAATTCACTCCGAGTTATAACTTCCAAGAAAAAGGTTAAAGAAACTGCCTACAAAACTTACGTAAGACTCCAGTTAGGATACTGTTTCATGGTTTGGCATCCTTGGCAAAAATGTCTGGTTTACAAAATAGAACAAATTCAAAGGTCAGCTGCCAGATATGTATACAACGACTACAATTACACCAGTAGTGTATCTAAAATGTTAAGTGATCTGAAGTGGCAAACTCTTGAGCAGAGGCGCAACATCCACTCTGTTACCCTACTTTACAAAATCAAACACAATCTTGTCATGGTCGACAATGACCATCTGACACCCACTAGAAACCTGAACTAAGTTATACCTAATCAAGGACACAATACCACTGCTATTCATTTCCCCCAGAAGCATTCTTATGTGGAATGGCATACCCGTGTCCTTAGAGCTAGTCCCAATTAAGACGTCATTACTGGGCAGCTGCATCCTTTTTACAACTTCTATGTCAGCTTTGCTGTTAACTCTTTATCTCAGTCTTCTAGTTCTTTTTTTATTTGCTTTTATTTTATACCTATACATTTGCACTTAACACATTTGTTTATACAGCTTTTCCCAGACAACGCGCCTGCTTAGTGTAATCGTTACTGATTTTGAACAGCATAATGTAGATGTAGATGTTACTAGTACCTCAAAATTCAATATTGATTCTGTCTGCACAGTACTGATATACTTCATTTTCATCGTGTTCTTTGCTTAACTTGTCTGCATAATTCCTGTTTGTTTAACTTTCTGTGAAATTCAATCTACTAGTAATTCATACATGTATGCGATCTGGGTATATTCTCTAGCTGAGTGGCGACTTAATTATTTCAACTAGTAAGCATTCTTTAGCTGCCATGTTATCAGATTCTTTTGCAAGCCTGTCAGCAATACTATTTCCTTCAGGGGTCCAATCAAAATAATTGTAACACCACCCAGTTCAAGCTCTTTCCTCAAATATCTACTTTAATTTCATTCTCCATTTCTTGGTCCATGACATCTAAATAATCCTCTCATTTGTAAATTTCAGAGTCGGCATAATATATAATGTTGATTAATTTTCTCCATATATTTCTCAATTACAATCGTCAAGCTTGTAGACCGGTAAATATAGAACCCTGATTTATAATTGGACTCCTTTCCATTTTAAAAAAAAATCCATCAGGGTCTTTCAAATAGATAGACCCTGATTTCACTGTTGCTGTTTTCCAGGTTTGGGACATCAGTGCACCCAAGGAGAGTTGAAAAATATGTGTGATGTGTTTAAATGAATATAACAGTAGCTCTGTGTAAATTTAATCTGCTCCAGGAGCTGCAGAATGGCTGTTTCTACTTCTTGGGTTATGATATTCAGGAAACTTTAACTTTCATCTTTTTCTGTATCATTTTTATTTTGTCTTATATAAAACAATTACTCTTCAATCTACTTTCTTCAATCTTCATCAAAGGTTACGTTCTGTTGATGTTTACCACAGAAAATGGTCTTTTTTGGCTTGCAGCCACGGCTGCAAGCCATTTGTTTTGGATTAGTTGTTCCGGTTAGGTGGTTTCCTGCTTACATTTGTTAGTGCATGATTGAACGGGAAACCAGCTGCAATCATGCCAATCGCAACTTTTCGGCCCTTTCCGTCACTCTTCGGATTAATGATAACAGCCGAGGTAGTTCCGATTGCAATCGTGACAATTCGGGCGATTTCGTCATACTGCGGAATCAGACGAAGAAATATTACGGAAATCTAAGCTATTTTAGTTACTTCGGTAATCCCAGTTTGTTTATATAAATCGGATTTCTATTTTTACTTGATTCCGTTTCAATTCTTTTTCAAGACGCAAAAGTTAGTTTCTTTTATAATTGGTTTTTGTCTTTATTAGTTTTATACAATAGAGAATGGTTACTGTAGCCAAAGGGCGGTCCTGCTTACCAAAAGATCGTGACCGAATCACGCAGAATATAAGTGCATGATCAAGTTATATATTTAGATCTACTGACAGAGTTTAAACGTCTTGGTGAGGTAATCTAAAAATAGCCCATGCATATCATTAACCTTACCACGTGCTGATCTCCTGTGTTGTCGATCATAGATATTTTAGGTGTAACATAGTTGATACATGCTTATTAATTGGTACCACGTCACGAAGTTTTTTAGTGCATTTACTTGTCTCTAAAGCTGCTATATAAATGAAATTAGCAACTGCCAAAACGAATGACTCTCTCTGCGAAAAAAAGTGGAAATGAAATGTTCACACTTATTTCCCTTCGGTATGATAGATTGATCTCCACGTGAGAGCCAATGTTAGTATTTTTACGATTGATTATTTTCTTTATTAGTTTTATACATTAGAGAATAGATTTCGAATCGTTTTTGACAAAAAAATATTCGTTTTTACAAAAACAGTTGCTACTGTTATCGTCAGCATGTTCCCGTTCAGTTATAATCAGTGGACTTCTGGTCCCTATTTGGTCCAAATTTGCACGCATAACACTGGTGATCAAGCAAATGGGCACAGGTGCTCGTCCAGTCTTGGGCTTACCCTACCTATCCCTTTAAAAGTGAAACTTTTTTTTTTTCGAGAAAAAAAACTAAATAAACACTTTATGATATACAAATGCCGTAATTAAAAAAAATGTTATAATAAATTGAAACAAAAAAAAATGTAAAGGGAAGGGATGGTGGCACAACTGAGCAAGCCTTTCCTTTTAAAAGGAAACTTTATTTTGCCTGTGCTCTACATACCCATCATGTAACGGGAAAGTACAGAATTTAACAATTCTGTGAATACTCTTCAATTTAGAGGAACGCAACCATCGAAAACATTTTTTTTCAATTGGTGTTTTTTTTCTTCAAATTTTTAATTTAAAACTTATCATGGTTTAATCATTCTACTTTTTTATGTTATTCATGCAGTTTGTTTATTTTGTTTTATAAAATTGAAAAATAAAGCCTGATTATACCATTTTAACACTGAAAATGAACCAGGAAATTGCGAAATAGGTTTGATATTCTTTTGCAATTAATGAAAAAATATCTGATTATCGCATGAAAAAGCTATAGTTCCTAACGAAATGGAAGTAAAACAAAGAAAAGCCATTTTGAGAGTCGTATTTGATATACTCTCTATTGCATGTGGTAAGTTAAGTGTTCTGTGTATCAAAATGATTTAAACAGTGTTAATCTCCAAAGAAAAATATTTCAAACTTATTAACTGTTGAGTTTATGTGTAATTTAATTGCTTTTTCAACTTTATTTAATTTATCGCTATATCCTGAATACTTTGGGACAAAACCATTAATATACAGAACAGCTTTAACAATTTTTCAAAAGTTTGCCAATCCCAGTGATTTTTTATGGATGGATTGTCACCACAACATCCCTGCCACAGTTGTGATTTTCCCATCATCATCTGATCTGGTGAAATTCGTGTTGCAGGAGATCATCACTGCAGATCACTGTAAAATATCACAGTGACATTTCACTCTCTCTGGTGAATTAATTTATTTCATTATGACATTTGCCCCCCTGTTTTGAAAATGTTAAAAATATTTAATTATCCCCCGCCGAAAATTTTCGGCGGAGGATATAGAAATAGTCTCCGTCTGTCCGTCCGTCCGACCTTCCGTCCTTCCGAGCAGACGAGAGATACATTATGAGGTTTAGGTTTATGTACAGGCACTCTGTATGGGGTTCATTCCGTAGAGACATGTATTATGTGGTTAAAAATGCTCTTATGGGGTTAAAACAATTGCTCTTGTGGGGTTAAGAGATCAAAGGAATAACCCCACAAACACGTCTGCTAAGTGCACAAGAATGATAACTCTACCTTGCATGATTTTTGAGTTATTGCCCTTTGTTATTTTTCAAAATTGATTTTTGTCCAGAGAATAACTCCAAAAGCCTATGAGATATTAAGATGAAACTTCATAGGTGCATAGATCTCACTCAGGAGGTGTGCAGTGCACATGAATGATAACTCTACCTTTCATAATTTTTGAGTTATTGCCCTTTGTTATTTTTCATACCTAATTTTTCACCAGAGTGGAGCATAACTCAAAAAGTGTTTGAGATATCAACATGAAATGTCATAGGTGGATAGATCTTATTGAGGAGGAATGTTATATGTGGATAGACCTCATTGAGGAGGAGTGCAGTGCACAAGAATGATAAGTCTACCTTGCATGATTTTTGAGTTATTGCCCTTTGTTATTTTTCGAAATTGATTTTTGTCCAGAGCATAACTCCAAAAGCCTATGAGATATATTAACATGAAACTTCATAGGTGCATAGATCTCACTCAGGAGGTGTGCAGTGCACATGAATGATAACTCTACCTTTCATAATTTTTGAGTTATTGCCCTTTGTTATTTTTCATACCTAATTTTTCACCTGAGTGGAGCATAACTCAAAAAGTGTTTGAGATATCAACATGAAATGTCATAGGTGGATAGATCTTATTGAGGAGGAATGTTGTGCGCAAGAATGATAACTCTTCCCTATACAATTTTTGAGTTATTGCCCTTTGTTTTTTTATGCTATTTTGTCCAGAGCTTATCTCAAAAAGTATTTGAGGTATCAACTTGAAACTTCAAAGGTTGATGGATCTCATTGAGGAAGAGTGCAGTGCCTAAGAATGATAACTCTATCCTGCATTATTTTTGAGTTATTGCCCTTTGTTATTTTTCAAAATTAATTTTTGTCCAGAGCATAACTCAAAAAGCCTTTGAGATATCAAAATTAAACTTCATAGGTGCATAGATCTCACTCAGGAGGTGTGCACTGCACAAGAATGATAACTCTACCTTTTATAATTTTTGAGTTATTGCCCTTTGTTATTTTTCATACTTAATTTTTCAATTCAATTTTTTTCTCAAAAAGTATTTGAGGTATCAACTTGAAACTTCATAGGTGGATAGATTTTACTGAGGAGGGATGCAGCACACAAGAATGATAACCTACCCTGCATTATTTTTCAGTTATTGCCCTTTGTTATTTTCATTCATCAGTATTCACATAGGTTTCAAATCTGTAATCACTATAGCCATCAGTTTTCATTACCAAAAGACCTCTTAAAATAGAATTATTCTGTTCTACTACATATACATTCTTCCAATGAGCAAACACATTCGGCGGGGGATGGCCATGTTGACATGGCTCTTGTTGTTTTTGTTTCCGAAATTCATTGCAGATTGTAGAAATTCCATAGTGCTTAAATACACAAAAAACACTCGCAAACAAACAAGCATCCATAAATAAATAAAATATTGTGTTTTCATTGTTAAATAACAATTAACATACACAAAATGTACACAAGAGATGAACTCTGTCAAGTGACTAGTCAGCTCTTCAAAAGAATTGGCAGTCTTTGATGTTTACATCCTGCTGTTTAATCTAAATAATAAAAGAAGTGCTGACACCCAATTGACTTCAACCCCCTTTTTTATTGATCAGAAGAAAAAAACTGTCGTCATTTTTTGTCAAGAAATATGATTAAATAATTGCTCAAGAGGAAAAATATTTTTGTTGGATAATTATCATGTCAATAATTGACATATTGTGCGTTGTAAGTGTATTTTTATTTTGAGAAAAATCTGTTTTAAAGTCAGCTTAGCCTTTGTTTTTATTAAGTCTGAAATATATAGGTGCAATTACTTTAACCCATTTTTACATGAGCGTTTTGTTTTCGTTGAAATGCCTCCTTTTACAAGTTCAAATTGCTATGAAACTTTAAAAATGTTTTAATACTGATCAAACTTGGCACAAATGTTAACTGGACCATAGCCTTTGTGACAGCATGCTAAATCTTAAGTGTCATGTTACCATGGCAAGGAAGGGATATCTCAAGCTTGCTGAAAATCACTATTTTTGCATTGATTTTTTCCCATCAAAACTGATTCCAAAGTGCTACAACTTCTCAATGGATTGAGAAAGAGTTTTGTTACTTCAAAACTATCAATTTTTATATACATATATAGATGAAATCAAAACTGTTCTAAAGCAACCGATTTTGATTTATTTAACAAGAGTGAAGACTTCATTGTCAAATAAAAAAACAGAAGAATAATAATTATTGGTGTATCAGGTTGAAACAATTCTTACAGATCAATATATTTCATGCTTCATTCTGAATTACTGCCTGAAATACCATGTTTAGATGTATGTAATGTTGATTTATGTACTACTTTTCATTTAAGTTGCTATTCCTGTGCTGATATTGTTTGCTGTTGCCAAGGGATATGAGCGTGGTTTCTACTGTGATGATGAAAGCCTTATGCACCCATACAAATCTAATACCATACCAACCTGGGTTGCTGGTTTTGTTGGTATTGCACTACCATCACTTAGTGTAAGTAATTTAGGAATTGATATATGATAGTCACTAAGTGTAAGTTATTTAGGAATGAATATAATTATGATGATCAAAATCATGCTTTTATATGATTGTTATGGATTTGTCTGGGTTATATTTTATTTGTATTGGTAAAAATATTTTTTATCTTTTCATGATAAACATTTAAGATAGACTGTTGGGCATACTTCTTGATGGTGAAACAAGGGGATTCCCCTTCAAGGCTTCCGGATCAGACAACAAACATCAAAATCCTTCCTGATCGGGAAGTTTCTTTAGTCTTTTTTTACGTAGTTCAGGAAAAATGGCCGGTGCACAACAGTTTTCAATCCACTTCAATATGAATATCTCACTTTAGTGCAGAAAAGATACGTCTAAAATCCTACCAAGTCATTTTCTTTTAAGATGTCTAAAATTAAAATACCGTAAAATTCCTATTAAACGCCCCCAGGGGCTAAACATTTTCCAAAAGGGGGCCTATTATTATAACACAGTTTTTCCTAAATCCAAAAATCATTGTAAATACATTTAGTGTTAGCAAGTGTTGGTAATAACATTAAAAAGTGTTAAGATTTTAAAGTTCATACTATAAGTTGTTAAGCAGTTTAATATAAAAAGTTGTAAGAATTGCTTATGGATCTGACATGTTGAAATTTATTTTCTACGTCTGATTAATCATAATAAACTACAACCTTTGAAAGAATAGAATAACTTTTTGAAACAGATTAAGAGCCATTTAAAATTAAATGAATAAACAAATAATGTGTTTTTTTTTTCTGAAATGATGTTGTACAGTTTAAAACAATATCAAATGAAAAATATGTTATTTTGCATACAAGTTACTTTCAATTATCAGATAATAAAATTTTTGCTAGCGTAAATATCAAGCAACATGTCATTAAATTCTACACTTGCAAAATTCTCTAATATTTCCCCAAGCAAAATGTCTGGAATTCTAAATTCGCTTACTTTTCGACATGCATAAATATCCACTTATACAGTATCTTTTCTTTTTTTTCAGATCCTGAGTCTTGAAGGGTTTAAGGCATACCGGGCAGAGAAGAAGTTGTTTACATACTTTGCTATTTGTTACAAGTTGTTGGTACCATTTTTTCTTGGTTTGGCTTACACAGCTACTACAAAATATAGCAAAAGTACAGTAGGTACGACTTTAAACACATGTTCATCCAACAGATGTATGTGTACAGTTCCGAAACAATAGCATCATTCTGTTTTTTTGTTTTGAACAAGTTCTAGTTTACGAAATATTGTATCACGCTATTTTTAAATTGTTGGTAATAATGTGCTACAGTAGTTAGAATCATGTGACAGAATATTCACTTGCAAATAACTTCTAGTTGCAAGGGTACAATATCTCCTATTTTATGAACATATTGACAAAAAAATATTTCAATGTGTTTTTGGAGATTTCTGAGCAATGTTTTTTAATCATGTTTGTCACAAGGAAGTTTACCGATATGTATGCCGCCAAAACAAAAAAATAAATAAGCTATAGGGCTATTTTCATGGTAAGAAAAAATATTTTCATGAAGGATAGAAATAAAAAAAAAATAAGCTACTGTAAAAGAGAGAGATTAAAAGGTGTTTTGTTTACCATTTTTTCTTTAAATCACCCCATATTGTATTAAACTTGTACTTATAGGTGATTAATGATGATTTTCCTCACCCCTACCTCTGGTTTTAAAATGCTTATGCATATATTAAAATAATGTATGTAAATTTTCACAGGATTCTTGTCAGGGGATGTTTGTACAGGAACAGATAAAGCTGCAATAGCAGAAGCAAGGTATGAAATAAAAATTTTATCTTTATTTACCCTTTACACAAAACTGGTGCCAACAAGACAGGTAAACTAGTCCAGTTCTCAAAGTACCTTCTGTTTTCCAACAAGACTGGTATACCAGTTCAACTTGTAGTACTGTCTATTTGCCAACAAGATGTGTATACATTTGTACTTGTCTTTTGGATATTAAGTTTAGGTATAGCATATGATTTATTGAAATATCTCTTTTCATTTTTATCATAATTTTGGCTTGAGGATGGAAACAAATCTTTATTTCAACTTTTCTTATAGGTACCTGAATTAAAAATTACCAACAATCTTTTAAAGTTTGTTGCAAGTGATCTGATAATATGCTTAATTCATTTTAATTCACATACAGTATAAGTGGTTAAGTTAAGCAACATGGAAATATTGGCGAATTGGCAAAAACTTTCTTCTAGGGTAAATATGAACCAACCTGTCATTAAATTCTGAACTTGTTTGCGAACTTCACGATGTGTGGTTTTTCTCGCTACTCTGAGATTTCCCGCCACTCAGAGAATGATTTCCTCACATGAAATACTTGGAAATTTAAATTTGATAACTTTTCGACACGCGGAAATATCCACCTATAAAGTATACTATATAGATCTATTTTTATCATGGGATTATTTTTTTTCAGGTTATCATTTCCATCAGGGCATACATCTGTAGCATTTTATTGTATGATTTGGTTAATTGTGAGTTCAAGTTTTACCTTTCTATATATAACATCTTTCCTAAGTCTAGATCATAAGAAGTCGAGATCTTATTCAACAGATGCAAAATTAAAATACATGTATATGTAGATTAATTTAACAGACAAAAAAGTATAATTTCTTAATAGCTCAGTACATTTTTCTCAAGATTAATTTTCTTGAAATATTTTGGCTCATTCTGGAGGCATGCAGCTTTAAGACATGTTTTTTATATTGAAGGTGTACCTGCAGTTCAAATTCACATGGAGGCGTTACTGGTTAATCAGACCAGTATTACAGGCAGTGGCATTTTTCCTGGCCTATTATACAGGATTATCAAGAATCTCTGACTACATGCATCACTGGAGTGACGTACTAGCTGGTGCTATCATTGGAACAGTTGTAGCTATATTAGATGTAAGTCAAAAATCCTTATTAGGCTTTCATCTGCCAAAGTTGTGTCAAACTGTTTTCTTTCTAAACAAACATTTGTTGAGCCTTTGTGACATACACAGTTACAGTGTTGACTCCTGGACAGGGATGAATTGATAGCACCCAGCAATAAATATCTGAGTTGGAATCCTACAGAACCTGAAACTTTGGATTGCTTTGTGTTATAGAAAACTATCAATCTAGCTAACAGATGGTTCAAACTTATTATCTATTCTTGACAATGCACAGAGGGGCACCTGAGGTCTCCTGTATCAGTAATGGCGAAAAGTTGCCATAAAATTAAAAACCTTGGCTCTGTAACTTTGAAAATCAAGAAAAGACAAATTTTACTACTCTGACTTAATTTTATATGTGTCTCACACAAAGAGGGATTGGTTTCAGCAAAGAAGATTTCATACTAATACTCTTAGTGACTGAGTGGATGTATCAAAAGCTGTAGAATACTGGGGCAAAGTTGAAGAAATAAAATTGGATGTTAAAAAGAAAACAATATCAATTATTGGTTTTGGAAATTTTACATGTATGGACTTTTATGGAAAAAAAAATTTAAAATCATTTAATATTATTTGTTTCAGGTGTTTTTCATGTCAGATATCCTAGCATGGAGAAAGAGGAAATGTCAGGACTGCAGTAATTCTTTACCACTGTATCATAGAGATGGTGTCAACAATGGAACATGTTCTACTATTGAGACATGAATGGATACTAATCAAGCTCTACTTCCAAGAAAATGATGTGATATTAAACAGCCAACTTGTTACATTCCTAAAATTATTCTTTTATTGTCCAGCATGTAACCTAATGCAAGTTTTAAATATTTATTTGATTAACTATGCAGCTAACTCAATGTTCTTTTCACCAGCATGTAACTGCTTTCACAACTAGGCAATGCAAAATTTAGTTTTAAGGTTGATCAATTTCAAACAATATGTAAATTTTGGATTCTGATGTTGGATAGGGTAATTTTTTAAAAACTTTTTGCCTCATTTATTTATAATTTCATATAATGAATTTTATGAATATTTTCTGCTCCAGCAATTCAGTAAATGGCATGATTTTAAACAAATTAAATAAGTGTAAAAAAACTTTCATGTGATGAATCTAGGAATCTATTTTACATGAATGAAATAAGTATAAAAAGATATACTATTCTTTAGAATTCAAAAAATCATCTGTCAGAGAAAATCAGTTGGTTAGCAGTAATTCTGTGATATGAAATATTTATCAATTATTAAGTGGCAGTTAATAAATAATTTGATAATTATATCCAAAAATAAAAACCCAGTAACACTTGTGTTATGCATATTACAATATTTTATTATTCAAAAATAATAAGGATTTAGTCTTCCTTTTTCTTATTCCTTCATTTTTGTTAATTCAAAGGTTTAACAAGAAATCTGTTTAAATACTATACATTTGTATGTGCATGGCAGTGTCAAGTCTACATCAATAAGTGAAGAAAAAAATAATATCCAACAAATTTTAAAATAATCAAGGTTTATCAAATGAAGGAAATTCAGTAAATTGTTGTTTATATATCTATTTAAGATTGATATATCTATTTAAGAATGAAAAAACTCATTTCAGAAAAAAAAGATCTAGCTTTATCTCAATGGAATGCACACCAGTTTAGAGAATTAGAACAACTTCTTTGTACAATGACTACATATTCAGAGTTTAAGGTTGTGATTGTGTATAAATCTTTTTTCTTATATTTTAAACTTATATAGTGTACATGTTTATCACATTCCTGTGCCGCTTTTGTGACTCCATAAAAATGATTTTGCACAGCCTTGCAAATATTTTGATGTCACATTATTTGTGATATATAAACATGGTGTCACTTTAATAGTCTTTCTTTTGGTTATGTGATAAATTGAATATTATATTCGTGTAGGTTCATTAGTTAATTTACCAAACTTGTTGAATGAAATAATATTATGCTCGCCAGAGGCTCGCATAATATAATTGTATTCAACTCATAGGGTTAGTATTGAACTCATTCAATATCCTCTATATAACAAGACATGTGATAGAAAATGAAGAAAGCAGGCAGTGTGATATCTTATATAATCAGACATTATTATAATTGTTACATGCTCAATACATATTTATGTACATGGTATTATATACTTACCGTAATAGTAATATACATATTAAGCTGTATTTAATGCATGTTTCAAATGCACAAAATTGACACAAACAGAAAGAAAAAAACTGTATTGTATACAAATTTGATCCTGTGATGTTTGAAGTAATGATCAAACCAAAATCCACTTGTAAAATACATGTTCCAGAACAAGATGCTGTTGTTAGAGCCCTTTTATATTTATACGATAATTACCATAAGATTTTTCATGTGCTATATGTAGCGGAAATCTTTGTTATATGTTGATTTTGAGCTAGAATTGTTTCATTGTGTGTATGACTTTTGTATACTCGAACCCTGTATTATTGACGTATCTCTGTTATTGATTCATTCCAAATTTTCTAAAAATATTTCATAATTTGCAGCCATGTGTATGTCAAATTTAAACATTTAGAACCAGTTCAATCTTAAATGCAATTTTTACTGTAAATGTACCTGCTTTACACAATATATTAATTTCAACATTGGAATAAATTAACTACTTGTAGAAAAATTTAAAATTGCTATGTACTTCCATAATACAGCATTCTAGGAGAATACCAGAAATTTTAGTCTTTTGTAATGTAATTTTATATATGTATATAGCTAACAATATTTATTTATTACATAAGGAAAGGTGATGGTTAAAAAGAAAATGAGCATCGGAAATCAAAATTGGTATCATATATCAGGCATGTACGAAAATCTAGAAGAGTGTATTAGTGTAATTGGTTGTCAAACATTTCAAGATATGATTATTTTTCACATACAGCAAAAATGAAAAAAAAATTAAATTGTGCCATTATCATTTTTTTTCTATTCTTTTTTTTCATTCATTAAGCATTATCATTTATATTGAATAGGATATTTATAAAAGTCACTTAATTTTATTTTGTAATTATTTTTGTCAAAGTTGCCTTATATTTTTTCCCCTTGTTTTGTTGTTCCTAAAGCGGCCTGCTTTACTAATTAATATAATGATATAGAGAGGACAATAGATTAAGGGTTTCCTTTACTAAGGTTTTTTTATCCACGGCTAATTTCTTCACCTTAATTCTGTTGATTTGACAATAATACAATGTATTAAATGATTTTAAGAATAACATATTTGACCTTAAGAAAAGCTGAAGGCCGGTTTGACCCATAACCTAGTAGAGCATTTCATAAATGACCTTAGTCAGCTTCCATTATCAAAGTTGTCATTTAAATTTTCATGAGCGGCCAGTCTTGAATTTGAGAAAGTAATTTTTGGTTTTTCACAAACATCATCAAGAAGTTTTAAGGCAGCCCAATATGCATGACATTTTGGCCTAAGCTGTTTGTGTGACTATCCTCCATAAACAATATGATAGAAATTTAAAGTTTTTCTGCCAGAAGTATAAGTGCTGGCCTGGGGCTATATTAGTGGCAAAAGCTAGTCACTTTCAGTGCTGCTCAAGTAGGGTTAGGGTAAAGACCATTGAAATTTTCAAGGATAATCAATTGCTTTTTATTCATTAAGATGTAAACTTGTAATTCCCTTACAGCTAAGATCAGTCCTATTTACCTCATAATCAGATATAAACTTTTGTAAATTTTTAAACACATGCATTCCTTATGCCAAAAACGTTTTTTTCCCCCCGATTGTAAAATGAGAATTTCATATGAACTTGCCATTATTTTGTAAAAACTTTTGTGAAATGCTTGTACATGTAAGAAACAAGAATTTGTAACAGAGTTACCAACGTCCCCCGCCCCGGGAGTTTTATATGAAGCATAAAATTGTGCTATTTCAAAAGATTGAGGTATGGATCTCAGGACATTCAGTCCTAAATTTTGATCAATGCTAGATCTGCAAATGTAACAATAAATTTGTTAAAAAAATAAAATGAAACACGGAATTTAAAAATCTATCAAGTTAAGCTTTGACCTCTAAGTGTGACCTTGACCTTGGAGGTAGGGGAGCAGGTGTTGTGCATGACATAACGTCTTATTATTGAGACTATTTAATGTGCCAAGTATTTTCAAAATCCCTTGAACTATGAAGAAGTTATAGATTGGACACAAAATATACCCTATAACAGACTATGTAAATCTTTGACCTCTAAGTGTGACCTTGACCTTGGAGGTAGGGACACAGATGTTACGCATGATATATCATCTAATCATTGTGACTATTTGTGCCAAGTATTTTCAAAATCCCTTAATCTATGAAGAAGTAATGGACGGGACAAAAAATATACCAAATAACAGACTCTGTTAACCTTTGACCTCTAAGTGTGACCTTGACCTTAAGAGGTAGGGGTGCAGGTGTTGTACCTGACATATTGGCTTATTATTGTGACTATTTGTGCCAAGTTATTTCAAAATCCCTTGAACTATGAAGAAGTTCTAGATTCGACACAAAATATGCCCTATAACAGACTATGTTAATTTTTGACCTCTAAGTGTGACCTTGACCTTCGAGGTAGGGATGCAGGTGTTGCGCATGACACATCCTCTTATTATAGTGACTATTTGTGCGAAGTATTTTCAAAATCCTTTGATCTATGAAAAAGTTATAGACCGGAAACAAAATATACCCTGTAACAGACTATGTTAGTATTTGACCTCCAAGTGTGACCTTGACCTTGGAGGTAGGTGACCGGTTTTTGCGCATGACACATCATCTGATTATTGTGAACAATTATGGCAAGTATTTACAAAAGTCCTTCATAGATAAGAAAGTTATGGACCGGACAAGTCATATATCCTCAAATAGACAATGTTGACCTTGAATGAGCAAGTACAACCTTGACCCTGAAGGTACAGGTCTGGTTGTTGCGCATGACACATCCTCTTATTATAACAAACATTTGTGCCAAGTTATCTCAACTTCCTTTGATAAATGACAAAGTTATGGACCGGACACCAAATATACCCTGTAACAGACTATTTTAATATTTGACCTCCAAGTGTGACCTTGACCTTGGAGGTAGGTGACCGGTTTTTGCGCATGACACATCATCTGATTATTGTGAACAATTATGGCAAGTATTTTCAAAATCCCTTCATAGATAAGAAAGTTATAGACCGGACACGACATATATTCCTCAAATAGACAATGTTAACCTTGAATGAGCAAGTACGACCTTGACCCTGAAGGTACGGGTCTGGTTGTTGTGCATGACACATCGTCTTATTATAACAAACATTTGTGCCAAGTAATTTCAAATTCCTTTGATAAATGACAAAGTTATGGACCGGACACGAAATATACCCTGTAACAGACTATGTTAATATTTGACCTCCAAGTGTGACCTTGACCTTGAAGGTAGGTGACTGGTTTTTGCGCATGACACATCATCTGATTATTGTGAACAATTATGGCAAGTATTTACAAAATCCCTTCATAGATAAGAAAGTTATAGACCGGACACGACATATACCCTCAAATAGACAATGTTAACCTTGAATGAGCAAGTACGACCTTGACCCTGAAGGTACGGGTCTGGTTGTTGTGCATGACACATCGTCTTATTATAACAAACATTTGTGCCAAGTAATTTCAAATTCCTTTGATAAATGACAAAGTTATGGACCGGACACGAAATATACCCTGTAACAGACTATGTTAATATTTGACCTCCAAGTGTGACCTTGACCTTGAAGGTAGGTGACTGGTTTTTGCGCATGACACATCATCTGATTATTGTGAACAATTATGGCAAGTATTTACAAAATCCCTTCATAGATAAGAAAGTTATGGACCGGACACAACATATACCCTCAAATAGGCAATGTTGACCTTGAATGAGCAAGTGTGACCTTGACCCTGGAGGTAGGGGTCTGGTTGTTGCGCATGACACATCGTCTTATAATAAACATTTGTGCCAAGTTATTTCAAATTCCTTTGATAAATGACAAAGTTATGGACCGGACACGAAAGTGTGACGGACGGACGGGGCCTATTTCTATATCCCCCTTTTTTCTTCGAAAAGGCGGGGGACAATAACAAATAGTTAATTTTTTTAAAGCAGTAAAGGTTATGATGTCTGTAATATGTAAAATTTCCAGATATGAATTAAGCAGATTTTCCCCCAACATTCAATCCGTTTGACAGTACTGCAAATTCCAAGGTTGAACATGTGGATATAACGATGATTATCTGAGTTGGCCAGTTTTAGAAAACATGTGTTCTTGTAATGCTTGATAAAATGCTTGAAAAAAATAAGTTTTAGTCCTGTAGAAT